ACACACACACACTACACACACACACACACACACACACACATATATATATATATATATATATATATATATATATATATGTATATACATATATATATGTATATAAAAACATATTTACATACGTACATACATACATGTGTATGTTTTTACTTTGTTACTACTCTACCTTGAATTCTTCCGATGCTATCAGAGTTTTGGCAAGCATGGGGTCGACCGGAAACTCGGCCATTCGCCTTCCTAATTTGGTCAATTCGCCCCTAAAAAGGAGTAGATACAAGGCATAAACTGATATTTGAATGTGCATCTTTTGTCGTGATTTTATATCGGGGGCAGCTGATGACAAAGTTTTTCACATTGAGGGTGCTAGTTAGTCCCTTAAGTTTTACTTACACTGATATGGCATATACCAATGTGCGTACGCACACAGAGCGGAGGTACTCAATGCATGTGTGTAAACTAACCAATTATACTAATGTACTCACCACTAAGCGTGTGTTCGGTCGATCAAGACTACGAACGGGACAATCGTGAACAAACACAACTACGTACACAAACATACACCTGTACAAGCACAGATGTACCTTTATACAATCCCCCGAGTAACAACGGAAGGTATGCAACACACCTCGCATTAATAGCCCCAAGGGCATACATCTGTTCCAGTGCTCGGATGAGTGTTTCGGCCGGGGGTGGGTCCATAAAGTCAAAATGTACCAGATCATTAATGCCCAAAGACTTCAGAAGCAGCACCACATTGCCCAGGTTGGTCCGTTGTATCTCCGGTATAGTGCTCTCTTCGAGTTCGTTTTTGTATGCCCAGGCGGTGAATAACCTGAACGCCTGTAGAAAACATGCAAAAGGTAGGTGGTCTTTATGTGCATACCTATTCCCTTTCTCCCAAGAGCATCAAAAACAACATTGCATTTCCGAGATTGATACTTAGTCTTCCGAGAAAAAGATTTCTGCGAGTTTACATGCGATATAAAATCTAAAAGCTTCTACAGACGAAGTTGGGCTAGATACATAAATAAACATATCCGTATACGCATACACATCTCTAAACACACATCACAATACAGGCTGTGTATAATACGAAGACCTTTTTGGATGATGTCAAGCCCAACAGTATGGACTAATATCATGTTGCGGGTGACCTGCGTGTAACCAGCTTGTCTAGCGACAGGATCGCGAGCCCAACAATCAGTATATGACATAACAAGACCATTTAAATTGACAATCTCTAACAGCTCGATGTATTAAATAGTTATT